TACCAAATTTTGAGTTACGGTACCAATTTTGAATTTTGTTATATATTTGTTTTAGATTTTTTTTAAATGTTTGTTTTTTTTGTTGAAACTCCTTTACAAGTCGATTTTTATATATTTATACATTCTACTAAAATATTTTCTATCAAAAAATTATTCAAAATTTTTTTATTAATCTGTCATTTTATATATAAATCAATACACAAAACTGACAAGATTTAGATTCTCATCACTTCACTAATCACCTATTTATCTGAACAATCATATTTATTTAAATTTAATTGTTTGATACTCTTTTCCGCACCCCTTATGAGGTAGAGTATTATAGGCACGTTTTTTACGTGATATGTCCAGTAAACCTATTCCAACATTACTATTTATTCCTGTGTGTGTTTATACTGGAAGGACAAAAGATTTATATGAACTACACATGACGCGAATGCAAATAAAAAATTTTAATTGTCCAATTTTTACTTCCCGAGCGTAAGCAAAGGAAGTATTGTAATCGAGTCCGTCGGCCGACTCTCTACTTTTACGTTTTTTCGATCTTTCATGACCCCTAGAAGACGAAGAAATAGGTCTCCCATTTCCGTCCGTCCGTCTGTCCGTCCGTCTGTCCGTCCGTCTGTCCGTCCGTCTGTCCGTCCGTCTGTCCGTCCGTCTGTCCGTCCGTCTGTCCGTCTGTCCGTCTGTCCGTCTGTTGTCCCGGATTTTTATTAGACAGATAATCTCCGAAAGTACTCGACCGATTGTTGTGAAATTTTGTACTTATATTAAGAATATCATGTAGATGGTAAAACGCTAACCAAAATTTGTCTAATCATCCCCACCACTAATGCGATGACGTCACTTCAAAATTGTACATGGTAAATGGGTTTTCAATTGTATAAAATAACATAGTCCTACACATGTAGTTTACAACTCTGAATCGACTTTTCACCCGAAACGTCCAGATTTTTGGAAAAAAAAATCAAAATTATAAAACAACATTTTGAAATTTAATTTTTAATCTGCTAACCAGAATGCTTTGAAATGTTGCAGATGTTTTAAGGCTATAAAGAGCATCATAAATCTTTAGTCAAAAAATATTTGCTTATCCCCTCCAAAAACTTGATGACGTCAGCTCAAAAGTTTGTGGAATAAATCATATCTAAAATGTACAAAATATGATGAGTCTGTACTTGTGATCTATCACTCCATTCATATTTTTTGGATTTGCATATACAGGGTGACTCAAAAAAATTAATGAATGCGTAAATATATTTTATTGATTTAATCAGGAACTACAAAACCGAATGCTCTGAAATCTTGCAGATGTTTTAAGGTCATAAAGAGCATAATAAATGTTTAGTCAAAATATGTTTGCTTATCCCCTCCAAAAACTTGATGACGTCAGCTCGAAAGTTTGCCGAATAAATCATATCTAAAATGTACAAAATATGATGAGCCTGTACTTGTCATTTATCACTCCATTCATATTTTTTGGTTTGCATATACAGAGTGACTAAAAAAAATTAATGAATGCGTAAATATATTTTATTGATTTAATCAGGAACTACAAAACGGAATGCTCTGACATCTTGCAGATGTTTTAAGGTTATAAAGGGCATAATAAATGTTTAGTCAAAATATATTTGCTTATCCCCTCCAAAAACTTGATGACGTCAGCTCGAAAATTTGCCGAATAAATCATATCTAAAATGTACAAAATATGATCAGTCTGTACTTGTGATCTATCACTCCATTCATATTTTTTGGATTTGCATATACAGGGTGATTCAAGAAAATAAATGAAAGCGTAAATTTATTTTACTGATTTACTCAGGAACTACAAAACCGAATGCTTCGAAATCTTGAAGATATTTTAAAATTATCATAAGCATGGTAAGTTTTTGATCAAAACGTATTTGGTCGTCCCCCCTAAAAAATTTATGACGTCACCACAAAATTTTGCTGAATAAATCCTATCTAAAATGTACAAAATATGGTGAGTCTCTTCTTGTGATTTATCATTCCATTCAATTTTTTTCGATTTGCATATACAGGGTGACTCAAAAAAATTAATGAATGCGTAAATTTATTTTATTGATTTAATCAGGAACTACAAAACCGAATGCTTTGAAATCTTGCAGATGTTTTAAGGTTATAAAGAGCATAATAAATTTTTAGTCAAAATATATTTGGTTATCTTCTACAAAAAACTGATGACGTCAGCTCAAAAGTTTGCCGAATAAATCGTATCTAAAATGTACAAAATATGATGAGTCTGTACTTGTGATTTATCATTCCATTCATATTTTTGGATTTGCATATGCAGGGTGACTCAAAAAAATTAATGAAGGCGTGAATTTATTTTATCGATTTAATCAGGAATTACAAAACCGAATGCTTTGAAATCGTGGGAATATTTTAAAGTTATTATAAGCATGGTAAACTTTTGTTCAAAATGTATTTGTTCATCCCTCCTAAAAAAATTGATGACGTCACCCTTACATTTTGCTGAATAAATCCTATCTAAAATGCAAAAAATATGATGAGTTTGTACTTGCGATTTATCATTCCATTCATATTTTTTAGATTTTCTTAAGAAGTGGTTCAAAAAAATTATAGAAGTCAATTTATTTTATTGATTAAATTAAAGGCAACACTTATTATTAGTATTACACCCCAACCAACCCAATTTGGTAGACACAAAATTTGTTAAAGGAAAAACTCGGTTGAAACATAAGGATAGCACGCTTATTTACATCGACTTTAACATTACAGACCTGCATTTGTTTTATGCGTTCACTTGGTTCCGCGAATGTGAAATAGACATGTTTATAATCAGCCAATTGTGAATTTCACCGTCAAGAATTAAAATAAAACCCAATGTTTTATATAATAAGCGGAAGTCGAAGCAATAAAACCGACGGTCGTTTTGTTTACAGTTTCTCTGTTTGGCTCTCACGTATGCTGTTACGCCTGTCATCTTAAATTAAGAATGTTTATACATACACGATTTTCAGTTGCCTCTGATACGTAGGTATACGTGAGTAAATTGTTTCGTTATTTTATTGATTATTACAAATCAATATTCAAAACGACCCAATTCATTTTCCCGAAAATTTGAAAATATAATAATTTTATTCTTAGTATTACACTACATCTATCCCAACTGATATACGTGTCCTTGCAAAAATGTTGATGACGTCATCGCAATTTTTTTTTAAATTCCCACTACAAAAATGTAATGAGAAAAAAAACACAATAGGCATGCAGTCGTCAAGTTTCCGACAGCGAGGGAAGTACTGTCTAAACTCTTTAGACCAATTTTTTTTACATATTTTTAGTCACAATTTTGGTAGTTATTTTTTTAGTTTTATTTTTCGCAATAATAAATAGTCCAAACATGAAAAAATTAAAAAAATTAAAATTGGAAAATCTAAAATTTGGAAATCGAGAAATTGAACAATCGTATAACTGAAAAATCGAAACATCGAAAAACTGGAAAATCGAAAAAGTAAAAAAAAATGGAAAATCAGAAATTTAATGAATTCCGAAAATTGAAAAACTGAAATATGCATAGAAAAACTGAAAACTCGAGAAATCGAAAAATCTAGAATTTTAAAAATTGAAAAATTAAAATATCGAAAAGTTGAAAAATTGCGAAATCGTATCAGTGAAACATCGAACAATCGAAAAATCGAAAAATAAAAAAATGGAGAAATTGAAAATTTGAAGAATGGAAAAATTGAAAATGTCAAAAATTAAAATACTGAAAAATTGAAACATCAAAAGTTGAAAAATCGAAAAACCGAAAAATCTCAATAATGTACATATTTATAAACCACAAGTTCAGGATTATGCTACAAAAAAATTGGTAACGTCATCTCAAAATTTTGCTGAATAAATTCTACTAAAAAAGTGCAAAATATGATGAGTTTTTACTTGTAATTTAACATTGCATTAATATTTTTTTAGATTTGCTTATATACCTAGGTGGCTCAAAAAATTAATGAATGAGTCAATTTATTCTATTGATTAAATCAGTCTCGACTCACTCCATTTTCCCAGAAATTTTTGGAATACGGTTATTTTTAGTCTAATCCACATTGATTTACGTGTCCTTGCAAAATGTTGGTGATTTCATTACAAAATTGTGTACCTAAAGTAAAAATTTAACTCGAAAATGCTGGATATGTTTCATTGTATTTTAGGTGCGAGGGAAGTTCTGGCGAAACAACTTTCCACCAATTTGTTTTGCTGTTATACTTGAACATAAACAGTTTATTTTATAATTTTTAAAACATTATAAAAAAAATAAAAAGTTGTGTTAGACCATGGTACAAGGAGACATGGTATAGGCATCCGATGTACCAATTTAAAAATGGTCTGCGCATCCATTTGTGACGTTAGGTGGCATCAACGACCTTGTGATTCTTGTGAGCTTCGCTAGGGAAGTCTAGGGAATTTCAGCTTGAGTTGTCATTGCTCTGTCCAATACGTCAATTAGTTGTCGGATAACGAATTGTATTTTAAATTTCGCGCTAATTTCACCCCACTTGACGTCACACCCGATGCGTATGCCTATACCATGTCTCCTTCTACCATGTGTTAGACTGAACCTTGTGGGTTTCTCAATCTATTTTCCGCAGCATTTTAAACTTTCAACTCAATTTCTTTCAAAATACATACAAATGGATTTCGATGGTTATTTCCCTGTACCCTTCATTTGAAAATAAATAGGCTTATCTGGTGTTGTTTACCGATTTGCATTTTATGAGGGACTCCCTACAGTGACCATAATCTTTCCTCTCTTGGGTCGCTACCTGCCGTGGATCGGTACTTTGGGTTGCATAATTACAAAAAATAATTCTTCTCACTGAAACCGATTTTGCGGGCGACGACTGGGAACCCTTAAAGATACTGTGTCAAAGCGATCAAGTGTGATCTTCAAGCAAGTAAATGCGTGAAATTATATGTCATAAAGTTTCATTTTATTAAAGTTATATACATAGCTTAATGCTACTACAGCAAAATTATACAAAATTAAATCCTACGCATGTATTTTTTTGTGCTTATAAAAAACTGACCGATTTTTAACTCTATAAGAACAATGTTCGCATTTGTATCATTTAGCATCCGCTTCATCCAAATGGCGGCTATTTTTATGAATCGTTACATATCTACTGCATTTCGCCTTATATGGGCAATATTCGCACTGAAATGATTTGATTTCTGAATGGCGAACAGTTATATGCTCTTTCAAATGATCTTTCCTTTTACTTTTATACGAGCAGTTCGTACATTCGTACCACTTAACTTCTTCTTCATCCAGATGTTGAGAAATCACGTGATATTTTAAAGTCGATGCGAGTTTAGTTTTGAAAGGGCACTTTTCGCATTCGTGCCATTTAACGTCTTCTGCCCGCAAGTGTAAGTTCTTCATGTGCTTTTTTAAATTCTTTTTTGATCTAGTTTTGAAATGACATTTTTCGCACTTGTGCCATTCAGCATCCTGTTCACATTTGAACCGCTCACGATCGGAATGCTGAAGTGATTTGATATCTGAATGACGAGCACTTATATGCAGTCTTAAATTATTTCTTCTTTTAGTTTTATACAAACAGTTCTCACATTCGTACCACGTAACTTCTTCTTCGCTCAAATGTTGACATATCACGTGATACCTTAAAGTCGAGCGATGTTGAGTTTTGAACGGGCACTTTTCGCATTCGTGCCACTTACTTTTTTCCTTGTCTAGATGTTTTACATTGAAGTGGTTGTTTAAAGATTCCTTATACTTGGATTTGAATGGACACTCCTTGCATTCGTACCATTTAACGTCTTCTGCCTGCGAGTGTACGTTACTCATGTGGTTTATTAAATATTTTTTTGATCTAGTTTTGACAGGACATTTTTCGCACTGGAGCCATTGAGCATCCTGTTCACATTTGTACTGCTTACGATCGGCTTGCTGAAGTAATTTGCTAGTTGAATGGCGAGCACTTATATGCACTTTTAAATTAGTTCTTCTTTTAGTTTTATACAAACACTTTGCACATTTGAACCACTTAACTTCTTCTTCACTCAAATGTTGACAAATCACGTGATATCTTAATGTCGAGGAGTGTTTACTTTTGAACGGGCACTTTTCGCATTCATGCCATTCAATTTTTTCTTCCTCTACATGTTTCACATTGTAGTGGCTCTTTAAAGATGTCTTATACTTAGATTTGAATGGACACTCTTTGCATTGGAACCATTTAACGTCTTCTGCCCGCGAGTGTAAGTTATACATGTGTTTTTTAAAACTTTGTTTGAATTCAGTTTTGAAAGAACATTTTTCGCACTGGAGCCATTCAATATTTTCTTCGTATGTAACATTCTGGCTGGGAGAACTCAGACTTTGAATATTTCCTTTCCTTTCCGTGCATGTTGAAGTATGTTGAACACAATTTATCAAGGAATTTGTTTCGAAGGCGCATCTTTCACAAACGTAGTTTTGTATGGTGAAGTCCTCGATCGACAGATCCTCTCTAGATTCACTCTTAAGGCCATGATGTTTGTTAATGTGTTGTTTGAACGGAATCGTTAGATCCGTTTTAAAATCGCAGTCTTTACAATAATACGCTTCGATTTTGGCTTCAGAGCATGCAAATTTTTCCAAAGATGAGCGATGTCCTCGCACGTGGTTCACCATACATAAAATCGATGTTGTAAAATAGGGGCACAGTTTACAGTTGTGGACGTTTTTCCACGATGATCTTCCCCGTGCAACGAGTGCTTTCGAATATTCCAAAGTCGACATTGTGGTCACCTAAAATCGTTTTACTACACTACGGAAGCTGTTGCAATTTTAGTTACCTTAAATTTTGTTAAAGTAGGGTTAATGAAAATTATCCTTGTGGTAGTTAACACTACTGTAAGTCTAAAACGGCAGAGTTCTAACCTAAGATTTTTACGTTCTCAACCAAAGATATTGAATATACACCTTCCATGCTGTCAAAAATGTGTGAAAACATTACCCCGGAGAGTGGAGTGAGGGAGGAGAGGTTTATTGCACCTCAGTCCAGTGCTTGACGAGTTTAAATTTATAATTAGTAATAAAAATGGGACATTCATATTTTCCCGATATCCACCGATTATCAATTTCTACAAACGTCAGCTGTTAAACACAGAATATCAGTATACCATACAGTAGAGACAGCTCGTCAAATATTGGAACAACGTGTCCTTACCCAACCGTTTTTAGTAGGCGGGATTTTTGAAACGAAGTGGAATATTGATTGCCTAAATTACAAATACAGCTCGTCCGTAAAATAATGTTAATGGAACTGATATCATAAACATCGGATGAATATTAATAAACTGAGACCAATTTTTGGAGTGTGGTATGAAGACTACGAAGAAAATACCATTTTGAATGATAAAAAAAAATTGTGGTTATATTTATTTTATTCATTAATAAAAGTCTATCACTTTGCCAAGTTAATTTCATCATAAACACATCAACTACCTCTATTTTGTCAATGCCTTCAATTTTCGCCAAGTATGAACCGTTTGAAGAGTCAGAAAGTGAACGCTGTTGTTTTCATCTTCCCTGGGAAAAGTACTTTGATGTTTTTGGTTGAATTTTTGTTGTTAGTTAAATTAGTGAAGTGATTCTGAGAACCTTTTCATAGTAACATGGACTGCAGTGGTAGACCACCTCGTGATTGCAGGCACAATGAAAAAACCTGCTTCAGGGGCTTCTTTAAATTTCCCTTGGAATCTGTAAGATAAGGAATATAAAGAAGTATATTATTCTATAATCAATAAAAAATTATTTGGTATGCAATTTTTACAGCACAGTGAAAATGCCAATAGTTGTAATGATTTAGGATCTATTTTACTAGCAATTGAATCTAAAGATGGTAACCACTGTCAAATTATTAATACAGTTTTAAGCTGAACAATTTTTGCACATAAATCTGTTGACGTAAATATGACACACTACAGACATCTGGACATAAGCAAACAAAATTCTTTAAGTTATGTCTGTGGATACTTAATGAAGAAATGCTTGCTGAAATATACCTGTGAAACATGTAGTTATTTTGCCGTTGCACGTAATGTCATCATATATGATAAACTTCTCTGTCACTTTAACGCCTTTGATGATGATCCACCATTTTGGTAATCCTAAAGCTGGCCATTCACGTTCCAACGCCGCAGTACACACACATGTTACGACCTTGCAGTTAAAAATTTGCGATAGTGATGACAACATGTCCGACGAAATGACGAAAATGTACTTTTATAGCTGCTCTCACGGTTTGAATAACATACACTGTCAAGTCATGTCCACACATGATCAAATTTCCATCCAATACAACACGATTGTACTGCTGCAGACAGACTTGTTCAGCAACCGTCCACATCCAACCGATTTGCTTGATCGCATACACAGACGTTCAAAAACACTTCGATTTCGTCGTATCCAACACAATTGTACTGCGGCGTTGGAACGTGAGTGGCGGGCTTAAGATGCTACATGAAGCATTCACCATTTATGTTGCAGCCCTAGAAAAACGATTTGCTTCACTGTTTTCTACCAACTCAATTTTACCTTCATGTGGCCGATGTATAAAAGTAGCCCTCGTAACTGTGTCCATACGAGCATACCACAACCCTGTGCCCTGTGTACAGTTTCCACAAGATTATTTATTGTATTTATTTGTTCGAACGCGCATTTTCTATTCAGTAAAAATAATCAATCACACTTACAATATTAAATATCAAACACCTAAAATGTCAAATTTGACGCACGATGTTGACATGGTGGTAAATTTTATTTAGTAACAAGGTTTGCCACTACAGTTTCAAGCCAAAATTCAAGGTCATGTCCTTATCCAACGGTCGATTATTGTTGTTCTGGTCCGTTACGTGTATTTCTTATGGGGCTTTCAAAAGCTGTCCTTACTGTATAGTATTCTGTGTCTGAACGCATCCTGCCATTTTCCAAAAACACAACGTAAGGTTCCATTTTGTTAGACGATGACAGCCAAGGGCAAATTTTGAATTTTTCGCGGGCTTCCAATTTTTTTTCCACAAGTCAATTTAAGGCGGTATGTTTGGGTTATCACAACATGCCCTTTCAAATTCTTTTTCGTACTTCTTTAAAGAGAAACTTTACTTAGTTCTGAAGGGACACTCTTTGCATTCGTACAATTTAACGTCTACTAAATGAAATAAATTTGTTTTTTTTTTAAATATATTTATTTTTGGTTTTACAATTGCACAATTTTCACATTAGTACAATTCAAAGTCTTAATATTTGTACCACTTCATTTTCTTTTTCATCCAAATGTTGAGAAATCACGTGCCATTTAACGTCTTCTGCCTGCTTTTTTAAATTCTTTTTTGATCTAGTTTTGAAAGGACATTTTTCGCACTTGTGTCATTGAGCATCCTGTTCACATTTGTACAGCTTAGAATCGGAATGCCAAAGTGATTTTATTTCGAATGGCGAGCACTGATATGCTCTTTTAAAATATCTTTTCTTTTAGTTTTATACGAACAGTTCGCACATTCGTACCACTTAACTTCTTCATCACTCAAATGTTGACAAATCACGTGATAATTTAAAGTCGAGCGATATTTACTTTTGAACGGGCACTTTTCGCATTCGTACCACTTAATTTTTCCTTCCCCTTCATGTTTCGCATTGAAGTGCTTCTCTAAAGATTGCTTATACTTAGATTTGAATGGACACCCCTTGCATTCGTACCATTTAACGTCTGCCCGCGAGTGTTCGTAATACATGTGGCGTTTTAAATTCTTATTTGATCTGGTTTTGAAAGCACATTTTTCGCACTTGTGCCATTCAGCATCCTGTTCACATTTGTACCGCTTACAATCGGAATGCTGAAGTGCACTTACATGCAGTTTTAAATTATTTTTTCTTTTAGTTTTATACGAACAGTTCCCACATTCGCACCACTTAACTTGTTCTTCACTCGAATGTTGACTAATCACGTGATAATTTAAAGTCAAGCGATATTTACTTTTGTATGGGCACTTTTCGCATTTGTGCCATTTAATTTTTTCTTCCCCTACATGTTTCGCATTGAAGTGCTTGTCTAAAGATTCCTTATACTTAGATTTGAATGGACACTCCTTGCATTCGTACCATTTAACGTCTTCTGTCCGCGAGTGTACGTTTTTCATGTGCCTTTTTAAATACTTTTGTGATATAGTTTTGAAAGGACATTTTTCACACTTGTGCCATTCAGCAGCGTGTTCACATTTGTATATGGAATGGTGGTTGTATATACGCTCCTTTAAATGACCTACCTTAACCTTACATGGACATGATTCACACTGAAGTGATTCGATATCTGGATGGCGAGCACTTATATGCAGTTTTAAATTATTTTCTCTTCTAGTTTTATACAAACAGTTCGCACATTCGAACCACTTAAATTCTTCACTCAAATGTTGACTAATCACGTGAGATCTTAAAGACGTGCGATGTTTAGTTTTGAACGGGCACTTTTCGCATTCGTGCCACTTAATTTTTTCTTCCCCCACATGTTTCGCATTGAAGTGGCTGTTTAAAGATTCCTTATACTTAGATTTGAATGGACACTTCTTGCATTCGTGCCATTTAACGTCTTCTGCCCGAGAGTGTACGTTACTCATGTGGTTTTTTAAACTATTTTTCAATTTAGTTTTGAAAGAACATTTTTCACACTTGTGCCATTCAACATTTTCTTTGTACGTGACATTCTGGCTCGAAGAACTCAGATTTTGAAGATTTTCTTTCCTTTCCGTGCATGCAGAAGTATGTTGACGCCACTTTATCAAGAAATTTGTTTCGAAAGCGCATTTTTCGCAAACGTAGTTTTGGATGCTGAAGTCCTTGATTGACAAATCCTCTCTAGATTCACTCTTAAAGCCATGATGTTTGATAATGTGTTGTTTAAACAGAATCGTTAGATACGTATTAAAATCGCAGTCTTTACAATAATACACTTCGATTTTGGCATTAGAGCATGTAAATTTTCCCAGAGATAGGCGATGTCGCCTCACGTGGTTCACCATACACAAAACTGATGTCGTAAAATAGGGACACAGTTTACAGTTGTGAACGTTTTTCCACGAAGATCTTCCCTGTGCAACGAGTGCTTCCGAATATTCCAAAATTGACATCGTGGCCACCTAAAATCGTTTTATTACACTACGTAAGCTGTTGCAATTTTAGTTACCTTAAATTTTGTTAAAGTGGTGTCGCTGGAAATTATCTCTGAAATTATCCTCTGTGATATTTGACACTATGGTAAGGGCACTTTCCAAAACGCCAGAATTCTAACCTAAGATTTTTTCGTCTAGGGGACAGGTATTTCGGAATTATTACCAACGTGGAACAGGAACAAGTTGTTACCAGTTGGAAATTAAATCAGCTGCGAAAGCGAAACGTAACGATAAGTGAATATCGTTTTTGGCTATTTTGTGAAATTATTAAATTTGAACAATTAATTAATACTTTTATTGTAAAGTAGGAGTATAATATAAAAATTTATAAATGAACACAAACTGCAAATTATAAATAAAAAGTTTATACATATTTGAATAAAATAAACATATAAAATAATAATACAATAAATAATAATATAAGCAGAAAGGTAAAAAATTGAGAATTATTTGAAATAAAGAATTTTATTTAATAAAGGCACTGCGGTATTTGGATGCAGTCATACAATAATTTATATATTCAAGAATTAATATATTTTTTAATTTAGTTTTTTCCAATAAAATAGTAAACTAAGAAATTAGATAACAGCAACAAGAAACAACATATTAACGTCAATTTTCTCATAGAGGCTACGTTGGTTATAAATAAAAATTATTAAATCTTTATATTAAATAAAAACAATCTTAAGTATTTATCAATTTCAGATTCCGAAGGCAAAATCAGAAGACCAAAATCGTAACGTAACGCTAACTAGTACGTAAAGAAAAAAAAACAGTTTTATCTGTGGTAGAGCCGCATAGTAGGTAGGTATACGGGATGAAAGTGTTCTTCCTAGGAAACGCAATAACAAATTGTTCCAGAATCACTGTTATTTGGAACTGTTCCTGAAAAAAGTAAGAATTCCCCATCCCTATTTTCGTCACAACCAAAGATATAATATAAGTATAGATAGAGCAGCTAAAACCAGGAAGTCGAAAAATCGAAAGATTAAGAAATACTCAAGGTTTCTTAATAGTAATCACTATAAAGGGACCTTGAGAAATACTAAAAAATTAAAATAACAAAAGATTTAAAAATCCAAAATTGAAAAATCGAAAAAGTAAAAAGGTAGACATATCGAAAAATCCAGAAGTCAAAAATAGAAAAGCCGAAGAATTGAAATATTGCAAAATCCTAAAATTGAAATATCTAAAAAATGAAAAATCGAAAAATCGAAAAAGTGAAGTCGAAAAATAGGAACCTTAAAAAATCGAAAAATTGAAAAATCAAAAACCTGAAAAATCGAAAAATTGAGAGTTTATAAAAGTCAAATTTGAAAAATTAAAAAATCGAAAATTTGACAAAATGACAATTGAAAAACAGAAAATCTAAAACCGGGAAGTCGAAAAATCGATAAATTAAGAAATCAAAACAATTGAAAAATTCGAAAACTTGGAAAAAATTGAAATATCGAAGAACTGAAATGAAAAGCGACACATCGAAAAATCCAGGAGTCAAAAATCGAAAAGTCGAAGAATCAAAATATTAAAAAATCCCAAAACTGAGATATCGAAAAACTGAAAAATGAAAGAAAAACTGAAAAATGGGAAAACCTGAAAAATCCGAAAACTGAAAACCTAAAAAGTCAAAAAATTGAGCAATCGAAAAATCCATAAAGTGAAGTCGAAAAATCGAAACTTTAAAAAACTAAAAAATGGAAAATCAAAAACCTGAAAAATAGAAAAATTAAAGAATTGAACAGGAATATCGAAGCCCTCGAAAGTCAAGAAATGGGAAAATCAGATCATCGATTAATTGAAAAATCGAAAAATTAACAGTTTATAAATGTCAAATTTGAAAAATTGAAAAAGCGAAAATTTGAAAAAACAACAATTGAAAAACAGAAAATCTAAAACCGGAAAGTCGAAAAATCGAAAGATTAAGAAATCGAAACATTTGAAAAATTGAAATATGGAAGAGCTAAAATGAAAAATCGAGAAATAGAAAAATTAAAAATTTTAAATATTGAAAAATTAAAATACAAAATAATTCAGAAATCTAAAATTTAAAAATCGAAAAAGTAAAAAGTCGACACATCGAAAAATGCAAAAGTCAAAAATGGAAAAGTCGTAGAACAGAAATATTGAAAAATCCCAAAACTGAAATATCGAAAAACTGAAATATCGAAAAACTGAAAAATGAAAGAAAAACTGACGAATCGAAAAACTGAAAAATCCCAAAACTGAAATATCCAAAAACTGAGAATCTAAAGAATCGAAAAATTGAAAAATCAAAAATCTGCAAAATCGTAAGATCGAAAAATTGAATAACAAGCAAGGTTAGTTAATAGAGAACAGGTTACCACATAAACGAGTCTGTGGGCAAAATCGCTTACGGGGGAGGAGAGGTGTCAGCCCCATGTGACGTCAAAATGAGGTTGGTATTACTTGGGAATTTTTAGTAACTTGTAATTTTGAGTTGGTGTGACCGATCAGCTGATGCCTTTAATATGTACGATCTGTACCGCTAATTCTGACGTTTGGTGTTAGTACTGCGACTCGTGTAACCCTATTTTGCCTTGTGTTTTATGTACCACTAAGTATTTGCTCTGCGTAATTTGTAGTTTGCTAGTATACTACAATCAAAAGATTTGTTGATTTATAATCATGCCAGGACATTATTGTGCAGTGAAAAATTGTACAAACAATTCTGTGAAAGTAAGTACAAATATTTAAATTTTACGTAAATTGGTTTTGAAATAAATATTTACAGAATAGAAGTCTAAATTTGGAAAATGTAGATCCATGTCTAAGTTTCCACTCTTTTCCGCAAAACGCTAACGTTCGAAAAATGTGGGAAAAATATTGTCAGCAAGATGATGAATGGCAGTCAAAGAAAACTTCTAGAATATGTTCAATTCATTTTGAAGAATTGAACATATGAAATGAGATATAAAAATGAAGTTCTTAAAGGCCCACTCCGACAGCGACTCAAAGCAAATGGTATATACTAGAACCAAGCAAATTTATCATAGTACAACATATATCTATATTTTAGCAATCCCCAGCAAACCATTGGTTTTTACTCCACCCTTGAATGTGGTTGATTCATGTAATCCACCAGAGACCGAAGAAGTGCATCAAGCAAAAGTAGTTTATTTAGAAGCAGAAATAAAAAATCTCCAAACGCAAATTACAACACTCACTGATGAGAAACTTCAACAGCAGCAATATATTTCGTATTTAGAGAAGAAAATAAAAGATTTGGAACAAGGATTTACAAATCGGAAACAAATAATTAATGTTGGAGAATTATCAAAAATGTTTTCTCCATCATTAACGGAAAATCAAATTAATTTATTACTTAAAAGGAAAGCAAAAGTCAGATGGACAAGTGATGAAATATCTAAAGCTGTGTTGATCATGATTATTCATTGCCACCATGGGTGAGCCATGTTTCATATGGTGGTTTAACTGAACCCTCAGATCTGCTGAAGCAGGAGTGTCGATTATTGAATCATAGGTTTAAAGTAATAAATAGAAACAAAAAATTTCGTTTTAAGAAAAAAATTGTTACTCGGATGACCAATTTGTTAAAAAATATGGTGGAGCTCCCAGAAGAAATCACAAGGGCTTTTTTAAAACAGAGAACTTTAATTAGAATTAAATATTTAAATAATAAATCTGAAAATAAACAAAAGTATAAAAAATTTAAAAAATTTGCTAAAACTGTTTGATGTATGTAAATAAAAATTATTATAAAATTTTATGTATTTTTACTTACCAGTAGTGTTAATGTTTAGTAGTAATATTTTCACAAGTTTAATATTACAGTGAATTAAAGTGGTGTTTGCCTAACAAAAAAAAAATTAAATTTATTTGTGTTTAACCTAAAATGAAATGTTTTGATATATTACTAGAAAAGAAAAAGTAAACCAGTAAATGCAGATTTTCAGATTTTTTGCATACAAAAATCAGTTAATAGTGTCGCATTTGTTATTTTCAAGTTCTACTGGCAGCAAAACATTTTTCTTGAGGTTTATTAAATTGTTCTTTACACAGGATTGAAATTTGCGAAGTAGAAGCGGTCACTTGATTAAAAGTTTCCGTTTTTAGTGCGTTACTCGAGTATTTAAAACGGGCAATTTTCGCGCCATTTGAGAGCACCTTGTGACGTATCAATATGGCGTCCCAATGTGACAACCTTATCTATTAAATGACTTTGAATAACAAGTAAATTGAAAAATGTGCGCTGTGGTCTGTAGATCAGACAAGTTCTCAGACGACGAACTGTAATTCGTGTGACCTGAATTAGACTGAAGAAAACAGTAAACAGCTTGTAATATTCTGGTAAATCTAGTGTCAATTTGTCGAAACTAAAACACGTCGTTAAAAATATTATTACATTTTTTCTAGTTAATTTTATTCCTAGTTAGAAACGAACATTGTTGCCAACATAAGTCGAGGAGTCCTCAACCGTCATTTAATTTAAACTATTTCGCTTCTCTATGTTCTCTGGTGAAACTTTATGACATATAATTTCATAAATTTACTTGCTTGCAAGGTTAGTTAATAGAGAATCTATTAAATGACTTTGACTTGCTTGAAGATCACACCTGATCACTTTGACACTATATTAGATTCTTATTGTGATTAACATTTTTCGAAAACTTTTTGTTCAGGACAGTGAAAACCTTTCAATTCTTCTTCAACTTTAGTTTAAATGGCCTTTGCTATGTCGTAGGTGGAACCATTTGTGTATTCTTTTGTGTACCTTCAGAGTAGAACATTATAAGTTAAAGGACGCGTCGTGGCGCGTCTGGAACAATTCACTCATTGTTAATAAGTAAATTTTGTGTAGGGTGTTTCATTGGAGAGGTTGGTAGAAAACTCAAACTGTTTGACTTTTAATAGCTGACGTTTGTCGAAATTGATAATCGGTGGATATCGGGAAAATATTAATGTCCATTTTTTATTACTAGTTATAATTTAAATTCGTCAGGCACTGGACTGCGGTGCAATAAACCTCTCCTGCCTCACTCCACTCTCCGGGGTGATGTTTTCACACATTTTTGACAGCATGGAAGGTGTACATACGGCATGCTCCATCTATACTTATATTCAATATCTTTGGTTGAGAACGTAAAAATCTTAGGTTAGAACTCTGCCGTTTTAGACTTGCCGTAGTGTTAACTATCACACGGATAATTTTCATTAACCCTACTTTAACAAAATTTAAGGTAACTAATATTGCAACAGCTTCCGTAGTGTAGTAAAACGATTTTAGGTGACCACAATGTCGACTTTGGAATATTCGAAAGCACTCGTTGCACGGGGAAGATCATCGTGGAAAAACGTCCACAACTGTAAACTGTGCCCCTATTTCACTACATCGATTTTGTGTATGGTGAACCACGTGCGAGGACATCGCTCATCTCTGGAAAAATTTGCATGCTCTGAAGCCAAAATCGAAGCGTATTATTGTAAAGACTGTGATTTTAAAACGGATCTAACGATTCTGTTCAAACAACACATTAACAAACATCATGGCCTTAAGAGTGAATCTAGAGAGGATCTGTCAATCGAGGATTTTACCATACAAAACTACGTTTGTGAAAAATGCGCCTTCGAAACAAATTCCTTGATAAATTGTCTTCAACATACTTCAACATGCATGGAAAGGAAAGGAAATATTCAAAGTCTGAGTTCTCCAAGCCAGAATGTCACGTACGAAGAAAATATTGAATGGCTCCAGTGCGAAAAATGTCCTTTCAAAACTGAATTCAAAAAAAGTTTTAAAAACCACATGTATTACTTACACTCGCGGGCAGAAGACGTTAAATGGTTCGAATGCAAGGAGTGTCCATTCAAATCTAAGTATAAAAAATCTTTAAGGAGCCACTTCAATGTGAAACATGTAGAGGAAGAAAAAATTGAATGGTACGAATGCGAAAAGTGCCCGTTCAAAAGTAAACACTCCTCGACATTAAGATATCACGTGATTTGTCAACATTTGAGTGAAGAAGAAGTTAAGTGGTTCAAATGTGCGAAGTGTTTGTATAAAACTAGAAGAAAAAATAATTTAAAAGTGCATATAAGTGCTCGCCATTCAGCTATCAAATTACTTCAGCAAGCCGAACGTAAGCGGTACAAATGTGAACAGGCTGCTCAATGGCTCCAATGCGAAAAATGTCCTGTCAAAACTAAATCAAAAAAATATTTAATAAAGCACATGAATAACTTACACTCGCGGGCAGAAGACGTTAAATGGTACGAATGCACGGAGTGTCAATTCAAATCCAAGTATAAGGAATCTTTAAACAACCACTTCAATGCGAAACATGTAGAGGAAGAAAAAAGTAAGTGGCACGAATGCGAAAAGTGCCCGTTCAAAACTAAACATCGCTCGACTTTAAGTTATCACGTGATATGTCAACATTTGAGCGAAGAAGAAGTTACGTGGTACGAATGTGAGAACTGTTTCTATAAAACTAAAAGAAAAAGTAACTTAAAACTGCATATGAGTGCTCGCCATTCGGATATCAAATCACTTCAGCATTCCGATCGTGGGGGGTTCAGATGTGAACAGGATGCTGAATGGCACAAGTGCGAAAAATGTCATTTCAAAACTAGATCAAAAAAGAATTTAAAAAAGCACATGAAGAACTTACACTTGCGGGCAGAAGACGTTAAATGGCACGAATGCGAAAAGTGCCCGTACAAAACTAAACTCGCATCGACTTTAAAATATCACGTGATTTCTCAACATCTGGATGAAGAAGAAGTTAAGTGGTACGAATGTGCGAACTGCTCGTATAAAAGTAAAAGAAAAGATCATTTGAAAGAGCATATAAGTGTTCGCCATTCAGAGATAAAATCATTTCAGTGCGAATATTGCCCATATAAGGCGAAATGCAGTAGATATTTAACGATTCATAAAAATAGTCGCCATTTGGATGGAGCGGATGCTAAATGGTACAAATGCGAACATTGTTCTTATAGAGTTAAAAATCGATCAGTTTTGTATAAGCACAAAAAAACACATACGTAGGATTTAATTTTGTATAATTTGGGTGTAGTAGCATTAAGCTATCTATGTGACTTTAATAAAGTGAAACTTTATGACATAATTTCATACATTTACTTGCTTGAAGATCACACTTGATCACTTTGACACAGTATCTTTAAGGGTCTCTAGTCGTCGCCCGCCAAATCAGTTCCAGTGAGAAGAATTATCTTTGTAACTATGCAACCCAAAGTACCGATCCACGGCAGGTAGCGACCCAAGAGAGGAGAGATTATGGTCACTGTAGGGAGTCCGTCATAAAATGCAAATCGGTAAACAACACCAGATAAGCTTTACTATTTTGAAATGAAGGGTACAGGGAAATAACCATCGAAATCCATTTCTATCTATTTTGAAATATATTGAGTTGAAAGTTTAAAATGCTGCGGAAAATAGATTGAAGAAACCCACAAGGTTCAGTCTAACTTAACTTTTTATTTTCTTTATAATGTTTTAAAAATATATAAAATAAACTGTTTATGTTCAAATATAACAGCAAAAAAAAATTGGTGGAAAGTTGTTTCGACAGAACTTCCCTCGCACCTAAAATACAGTGAAACATATCCAGCATTTTCGAGTTAAATTTTTACTTTAGGTATACAATTTTGTGATGAAATCATTAACATTTTGCAAGGACACGTAAATCAATGTGGATTAGACTAAAAATAACAGTATTCCAAAAATTTCTGGGAAAATGGAGTGAGTCGAGACTGATTTAATCAATAGAATAAATTGACTCATTCATTATTTTTTTTGAGCCACCTAGGTATATAAGCAAATCTAAAAAAATATAAATGCAATGTTAAATTATAAGTAAAAACTCATCATATTTTGCACTTTTTTAGTAGAATTTATTCAGCAAAATTTTGAGATGACGTTATCAATTTTTTTAGTAGCATAATCCTGAACTTGTGGTTTATAAATACGTTATTGAGATTTTTCGGTTTTTCGATTTTTCAATTTTTGATGTTTCAATTTTTCAGTATTTTAATTTTTGACATTTTCAATTTTTCCATTCTTCAAACTTTCGATTTCTCCATTTATTTATTTTTCGATTTCTCGATTGTCCGATGTTTCACTGATACGATTTCGCAATTTTTCAACTTTTCCATATTTTAATTTTTCAATTTTTAAAATTCTAGATTTTTCGATTTCTCGAGTTTTCAGTTCTTTTATGCATATTTCAGTTTTTCAATTTTCGAAATTCATTAAATTTCTGATTTTCCATTTTTTTTTATTTTTCGATTTTCCAGTTTTTCGATTTTTCAATTATACGATTGTTCAATTTCTCGATTTCTAAATTTTAGATTTTCTAATTTTAGTTTTTTTTTTTTATTTTTTCATGTTTGGACTATTTATTATTGCTAAAAATAAAAGTAAAAAATTGGTCTAAAGAGTTTAGACAGTACTTCCCTCGCTGTCGGTAACTTGACGACTGCATGCCCATTGTGTTTTTTTTCTCATTACATTTTTGTAGTGGGAATTTAAAAAAAAATTGCGATGACGTCATCAACATTTTTGCAAGGACACGTATAAAAGTTGGGATAGATGTAGTGTAATACTAAGAATAATATTATTATATTCTCAAATTTTCGGGAAAATGAATTGGGTCGTTTTGAATATTGATTTGTAATAATCAATAAAATAAAGAAAAAATTTACTCACGTATACGTATCACAGGCAACTGAAAATCGTGTATGTATAAACATTCTTAATTTAAGATGACAGGCGTAACAGCATACGTGAGAGTCAAACAGAGAAACTGTAAACAAAACGACCGTCGGTTTTATTGCTTCGACTTCCGCTTATTGTATAAAACATTGGGTTTTATTTTAATTCTTGACGGTGAAATTCACAATTGGTTGATTATAAACATGTCTATTTCACATTCGCGGAATCAAGTGAACGCATAAAATAAATGCAGGCCTGTAATGTTAAAGTCGATGTAAATAAGCGTGCTATCCTTATGTTTCAACCGAGTTTTTCCTTTAACAAATTTTGTGTCTACCAAATTGGGTTGGTTGGGGTGTAATACTAATAATAAGTGTTGCCTTTAATTTAATCAATAAAATAAATTGACTTCATTAATTTTTTTGAACCACCTCTTAAGAAAATCTAAAAAATATGAATGGAATGATAAATCACAAGTACAAACTCATCATATTTTTTGCATTTTAGATAGGATTTATTCAGCAAAATTTAAGGGTGACGTCATCAATTTTTTTAGGAGGGATGAACAAATACATTTTGAACAAAAGTTTACCATGCTTATAATAACTTTAAAATATTCCCACGATTTCAAAGCATTCGGTTTTGTAATTCCTGATTAAATCGATAAAATAAATTCACGCCTTCATTAATTTTTTTGAGTCACCCTGCATATGCAAATCCAAAAATATGAATGGAATGATAAATCACAAGTACAGACTCATCATATTTTGTACATTTTAGATACGATTTATTCGGCAAACTTTTGAGCTGACGTCATCAGTTTTTTGTAGAAGATAACCAAATATATTTTGACTAAAAATTTATTATGCTCTTTATAACCTTAAAACATCTGCAAGATTTCAAAGCATTCGGTTTTGTAGTTCCTGATTAAATCAATAAAATAAATTTACGCATTCATTAATTTTTTTGAGTCACCCTGTATATGCAAATCGAAAAAATTTGAATGGAATGATAAATCACAAGAAGAGACTCACCATATTTTGTACATTTTAGATAGGATTTTTTCAGCAAAATTTTGTGGTGACATCATAAATTTTTTAGGGGGGACGACCAAATACGTTTTGATCAAAAATTTACCATGCTTATGATAATTTTAAAATATCTTCAAGATTTCGAAGCATTCGGTTTTGTAGTTCCTGAGTAAATCAGTAAAATAAATTTACGCTTTCATTTATTTTCTTGAATCACCCTGTATATGCAAATCCAAAAAATATGAATGGAGTGATAGATCACAAGTACAGACTGATCATATTTTGTACATTTTAGATATGATTTATTCGGCAAATTTTCGAGCTGACGTCATCAAGTTTTTGGAGGGGATAAGCAAATATATTTTGACTAAACATTTATTATGCTCTTTATGACCTTAAAACATCTGCAAGATTTTAGAGCATTCGGTTTTGTAGTTCCTGATTAAATCAATAAAATATATTTACGCATTCATTAATTTTTTTGAGTCACCCTGTATATGCAAATCCAAAAAATACGAATGGAGTGATAGATCACAAGTACAGACTCATCATATTTTGTACATTTTAGATATGATTTATCCCACAAACTTTTGAGCTGACGTCATCAAGTTTTTGGAGGGGATAAGCAAATATTTTTTGACTAAAGATTTATGATGCTCTTTATAGCCTTAAAACATCTGCAACATTTCAAAGCATTCTGGTTAGCAGATTAAAAATTAAATTTCAAAATGTTGTTTTATAATTTTTTTTTTCCAAAAATCTGGACGTTTCGGGTGAAAAGTCGATTCAGAGTTGTAAACTGCATGTGTAGGACTATGTTATTTTATACAATTGAAAACCCATTTACTATGTACAATTTTGAAGTGACGTCATCGCATTAGTGGTGGGGATGATTAGACAAATTTTGGTTAGCGTTTTACCATCTACATGATATTCTTAATATAAGTACAAAATTTCACAACAATCGGTCGAGTACTTTCGGAGATTATCTGTCTAATAAAAATCCGGGGGCAGACGGACAAACGGACAGACGGACGGACAGACGGACGGACGGACAGACGGACGGACAGACGGACAGACAGACGGAAATTGGAGACCTATTTCTTCGTCTTCTAGGGGTCATGAAAGATCGAGAAAACGTAAAAGTAGAGAGTCGGCCGACGGACTCGATTACAATACTTCCTTTGCTTACGCTCGGGAAGTAAAAATTAAATTTAAATGAATATGATTGTTCAGGTAAATAAGTGGTTAGTGAAGTGATGAGAATCTAAGTCTTGTCAGTTTTGTGTATTGATTAATATATAAAATGACAGGTTAATAAAAATAATTTTTTCAAAAAAAATATTTTAGTAGAATATATAAAATTATAAAAATTTGCATACTTTTAAATCAGTCAGCAATGAAAGAAGTCGACTTGTAAAAGAGTTTCATCAATATTGGTCAGCTAAGAGTATTTATGAGTATTATGACCCAAAGTACCTGGACTGATTACCTGGAAGGGTCGGTCGGCAAAGCTCCCTGCTGTGTAAAACTCAGCCATTTATTGAAACGGAAAACTTTGTAAATGGGGTTGCCTAGTTCCACTTTATTTTCATTAGTCAGTATTTTTTTAAAAAGCAAATATTTTGATAAATATAAATTTTAAACAAAAATGACCGGGTCTTCCCCATAGAGCTCAATGTTGTCTTTGCACTGGTATAAAAGTTGAAGCGAAAAATGCTCTCTCCTCGTCTAAAAATGCAAATTCCTTCGAAGAATGAACGATTAATTAAACACCAAACAATCACTTATTTTAAAAAATATTGTGTCTTCCCCAGAGATTTAGACATAATCTACCAACTGAAATGTCGATCTTTTTTTCAAAGTTGAAATTACGCCCGTAAAATGAAAATCTATTTAGCTCATTTTTCGGTCTGCTACTGGGCACCCTTAATGGCGTGGAAGGTGTACGTCATACTTATATTCAATATCTTTGGTTGTGACGTAAAAATGTTAGGTTACAACCATGATTACAACTCTGCCATTTTAGAATGCGGGGTTAAGATAGTGTTAAAAATCACGAGGATAATCATCATTAACACTACTTTAACAAGATTTAAAAGGTAACTAACATTGCAATTGCTTTCGTAGTGTAATAACTAATAAAACGTTTTTAGGTGGCCCACAATGTTGACTTTGGAATATTCAAAAGCATTCGTTGCACACGGAAGATCTTCATGGAAAAACGTCCACAACTGTAAACTGTGCCCCCATTTTACTACATCAATTTTGTCTATGGTGAACCACGTGAGGCGACATCGCTCCTCTCTGGAAAAATTTACATGCTCCGAAGCCAAAATTGAAGTGTATTATTGTAAAGACTGCGATTTTAAAACGGATCTAACGATTCTGTTCAAACAACACATTAACAAACATCACGACCTTAAGAGTGAATCTAGAGACGATTTGTCAATCGAGGACTTCAGCATACAAAACTACGTTTGCAAAAAATGCGCCTTCCAAACAAATTCCTTGATAAAAAGGCTTCAACATACTTCTACATGCACGGAAAGGAAAGAAAATCGTTTGAGTTCTTCGAGCCAGAATGTCACGTATAAAGAAAATGGTGAATGGTACAAGTGCAAAAAATGTAATTACAAAACTAAATTTAAAAGTCGTTTAAAAAAACACGTGTATTACGTACACTCGCGGGCAGAGGACATTCAATGGCACGAATGCACGGAGTGTCCATTCAAATCTAAGTATAAGGTATCTTTAAGGAGGCACTTCAGTGTGAAACATGTAGAGGAAGAAAAAATTAAATGGCATGAATGCGAAAAGTGCCCGTTCAAAAGTAAACATTGCACGGGTTTAAAAAAGCACGTGCTTAATCAACATTCGAATGAAGAAGTTAAGTGGTACGAATGTGCAAACTGTTTGTTTAAAACTAAAAAAAAATATAGTTTAAAACTGCATATAATTATTCGCCATTCAGATATCCAATCACTTCAGTGCAAATCATGTCTATGTAAGGCTAAGGTAGTAGGCCATTCAAAGGAGTATATATACAACCACCACTCCGATTGTAAGCTGTACAAGTGTGAACCGGATGATGAATGGCACAAGTGCGAAAAATGTCCTTTTAAAACTAGATTAAAAAATAATTTAAAAAAGCACATTAATAAAATACACTCGCGGGCAGAAGACGTTAAATGGTACGAATGCACGGAGTGTCCATTCAGATCTAAGTATAAGGAATCTTTAAACAGCCACTTCCGTTTGAAACATGTAGACGAAGAAAAAATTAAATGGTACGAATGCGAAAAGTGCCCGTACAAAACTAAACATCACTCGAATTTCAGTTATCACGTGATTTCTAAACATGTGAGTGAAGAAGAAGTTAAGTGGTACGAATGTGCGAACTGTTCGTATAAAAGTAAAAGTAAACAATATTTGATAAGGCATATTAGTGGTCGCCATTCAGATATCAGATCATTTCAGTGCGAAAATTGTCCATATAAAGCGAAACTCAGCAGGCACTTAAAGCGGCATATAAATATCCGCCATTTGGATGAAGCGGATGCTGAGTGGTACAAATGCGAACAATGTTCTCATAGAACTAAAAATATATCAGCTTTCTATAGGCACAAAAAAGTACATATGTAGGATTTAATTTTGTATAATATTGGTGTAGCATTAAGCTGTTTATATAACTTTAATAAAGAAAGATTGTGGCATATAATTTGATAAATTTACTTACTTGCTTCAGAACTGAGTATATTTTCTCTTTAAAGAAGCACATAAATGTTAATCATTCTAAAAAACCGAAATAGTATGTATGTGCGACATGCTCTTATAAAAGTAAAATGAAAAATAATTCGAAAGGGCATGTAAAGGTCCATTTGGTTGGAACGGACATTAAGTGATACAAATACGATCAGTCTTCTTACAAGGTTAAAAATGGATCGGCTTTGTATAAGCACAAGAAAATACACGCCTAAGATTTAATTTATTGTAAGTTTTTAATGGTAGGGATTTTGCGTGTAAAAACCTTCGATCATATAATAATATGTAATTATATGATTTAAAGTGAAAATATTGGTTCCCCTAATTATTTTGGAGTAACACGTCAAATGTAAAAGTTGTAGAGAATAGAAAACTATATCTAAATCATTTTTTATTCCTTTTGTAACACCTTATGTTATTAAAATAAAACATTTCGGTTGTTGGAATGATTGACTTGATTTATTAGTCTGGTTCTAGATACAAGGTCACTTATGTCATTAGAGAAATTCACAAACTATTGCTGTACGGCATGCTCCATCTATACTTATCTTCAATATCTTTGGTTGTGACTACGGTGTGGTGTGACGTAATAATCTTAGGTTAGAAAAACCGATAAATCGAAAACCTGAACAATCAAATCTTGGTAAATCGGAAATGAAAAATTAACAAATCGAAAAATTGGTAAGCAAACCATCCAAAAATTTAAACATCGAAAAAGTAAAAAGACACATCGAAAAATCTAGAAGTCAAAAATAGAAAAGCCGAAGAATTGAAATATTGAAAAATCCTAAAACTGAAACATCTAAAAACTAAAAACTGAAAAATCGAAAAACCAAGTGAAGTCGAGAAATAGATTTTACAATACATATTTTGATTTTTCGATTTTTAAGTTTCTCAATTTTAATCTTTCGATTTTTGATTTCTGTAATTTTTCGATTTGAACTTTTTTCGTTTCGATTTTAGATGTTTCAGTTTGTGCAATTTTCAATATTTTGTTTCTTCAATTTTTGATTTGCAAATTTTCTAGTGTTCATTTTAAATATGTAATAAATTATTATTATAATATTATTTCAATTTACCAATTTTCGTTTTTTTCCAGTTTTTGGATTAATTATTTTTAGTTTCTCCATTTTTAGTTTTCCAATGTTTCAATTTTTCGTTTCTTCAGTTCTTCGAGTTACAATTTTTGGATTTTCCTCTTTTTCGATTTTCTAATTTTTCGATTTTTAAACTTTCCGCATAATATAAATGGAAAAAATGCAAAATTGTAAAATAAAAAAGAACTTTGAAAACTCTAAAAATTGGAAATCAAGAACTTGAAAAATTGAAGAAACGAAAAATTCAAAAATCGAAAGAAGAAAAGTGCAAAACTGAAAAAAAAATGTATTGTAAAAGTGAAATATCGGAAATTAAAGAAGTCGGAACAATTAAAAATTGGAAACTCGAACAACTGAAAAATAAAGGAAATAATAAAATGAAAAAATGTGATATAAAATTGAAAAAATTACAATTAAAAAATCGGAAAAATGAAAAATAAAAATCAAAAATCTGAAAAAACTAAAAAAAAACTAATGTCTAAAATTAGGAAATTGCAAAAATTGGAATTGAAAAAGCGAAAAATTATGAAACTGAAACACGAAAAAATAAAAAACACAAAATATTCATTTTTCGCTTATTTAATTTTTCAAATTTTCAATATTCGATTTCCAATTTAAAAAATTAGGGTTATTATAAAAATAAAATTCGCAAAATCAAATCTTATAATTTTTCGAAAAATCTGGATTTATTTTCCTTCGACCAATTTTTTTAAGCCACATTTTTTCGTTTTTTTTTTCAATGATTTTTTTAATTTTCATTTTCTCGATTTTATAATGTTTCATTTAATCGATTTTGAAAAAGTAAAAAGGTAGACACATCGAAAAGTAGTCAGTCAAAAACAGAAAAGTCGAAGAATTGAAAAATCGAAAAATTGAATGTTTATAAAAGTCAAATTTGAAAAATTAAAAAATCAAAAATTTGAAAAACGACAAGTGAAAAACAGAAAATCTAAAACCGGGAAGTCGAAAAATCGAAAGATTAAGAAATCGAAACATTTGAAATAATATGGAAGAGCTGAAATGAAAAATCGAGAAAACTAAAATTTAAAAATCGAAAAAGTCGAAAAATCCAGAAGTCAAAAATGGAAAAGTCGAAGAACAGAAATATTGAAAAATCCCAAAACTGAAATATCGAACAACTGCAAAATGAAAGAAAAACTGACGAATCGAAAAACTGAAAAATCCCAAAACTGAAATATCCAAAAACGGAGAATCCAAAGAATCAAAAAATTGAGAAATCGAAAAATCAAAAAAGTGAAGTCGAAACATCGAAACCTTAAAAAAAATCGAAAAATTGAATAATAAGTAAACTGAAAAATCCCAAAACTGAAACGTCCGAAAACTGAGAAATTAGAAAATTGAGAAATCGAAAAATCAAAAACGTGAAGTTGAAAAATCGAAACCTGAAAAAAAAGAAAAATTGAAAAACCAAAAAACCTGAAAAATCGACAAGTAGAGTTTATAAAAGTCAAAAATTGAAGAATCGAAATTTTTAAAAATCGTAAAATTGAAAAAAAAATGAAAAAATGTGATATAAAATTGAAAAAATTACAATTAAAAAATCGGAAAAACGAAAAATAGAAATCAAAAATCTGAAAAATTGAAAAACTAAAAAAAAACTAATATCTAAAATTAGGAAATTGCAAAACTTGGAATTGAAAAAGTGAAAAATTATGAAACTGAAACACGAAAAAATAAAAAATACAAAATTATAATTTTTCGCTTATTCAATTTTTCAAATTTTCAATATTCGATTTCCAATTTAAAATATTAGGGTTATAAAAATAAAATTCGCAAAATCAAATCTTATAATTTTTCGAAAAATCTGGATTTATTTTCCTTCGACCAATTTTTTTAAGCCACATTTTTTCGTTTTTTTTCAATGAATTAATTTTTCGTTTCCTTATTTTTTCAAATTCTTGATTTTTATTTTTCATTTTCCTGATTTTTTAATTTTCATTTTCTCGATTTTATAATGGTTCATTTCATCGATTTTGAAAAAGTAAAAAGGTAGACACATCGAAAAATCCGGAAGTCAAAAATAGAAATGTCGAAGAATTGAAAAATCGAAAAATCAAAAAAGTGAAGTCGAAAAATCTGAAAAATCGAAAAATTGAATGTTTATAAAAGTCAAATTTGAAAAATTAAAAAATCAAAAATTCAAATATCGAAGAACCGAAATGAAAAATCGAGAAAACGAAAAATCTAAAATTTTAAAAATTGAAAAATTAAAATATCAAAAAACTGAAAAATCTAAAATTTAAGAATCGAAAAATTGAAAAAACGACAAGTGAAAAACAGAAAATCTAAAACCGGGAAGTCGAAAAATCGAAAGATTAAGAAGTCGAAACATTTGAAATAATATGGAAGAGCTGAAATGAAAAATCGAGAAAACTAAAATTTAAAAATCGAAAAAGTAAAAAATCGACAAGTCGAAAAATCCAGAAGTCAAAAATTGGATAAGTCGAAAAACAGAAATATTGAAAAATCCCAAAACTGAAATATCGAACAACTGCAAAATGAAAGAAAAACTGACGAATCGAAAAACTGAAAAATCCCAAAACTGAAATATCCAAAAACTGAGAATCTAAAGAATCGAAAAATTGAAAAATCAAAAATCTGCAAAATCGTAAGATCGAAAAATTGGATAATAAGTAAACTGAAAAATCCTAAAACTGACATGTCGAAAAACTGAGAAATTAAAAAATTGAAAAATTGAGAAATCGAAAAATCAAAAAAGTGAAGTTGAAAAATCGAAACCTGAAAAAATAGAAAAATTGAAAAACCAAAAAACCTGAAAAATCGACAAATAGAGTTTATAAAAGTCAAAAATTGAAAAATCGAAATATTTAAAAATCCTAAAATTGAAGAGAAAAACTGAAAACCGAGAAATTGAAAAATTGAGAAATTGTAAAAATCCAAAAATTGAAAACTAAATAGAAGTAAACTGAAAAGTCCGCAAACTAAAATTTCGAAAAACTGAGAATTCGAAAAATCCAAAAATTTAAAAATCGAAAATGTAAAAAGACACATCGAAAAATCTAGAAGTCAAAAATAGAAAAGCCGAAGAATTGAAATATTGAAAAATCCTAAAACTGAAACATCTAAAAACTAAAAACTGAAAAATCGAAAAACCAAAAAGTAAAGTCGAAAAATAGATTTTACAATACATATTTTGATTTTTCAATTTTTAAGTTTCTCAATTTTAATTCGATTTTTGATTTCTGTAATTTTTCGATTTGCACTTTTTTCGTTTCGATTTTAGATTTTTGAGTTTGTGCAATTTTCAATATTTTGTTTCTTCAATTTTTGATTTGCAATTTTTCTAGTGTTCATTTTAAATATGTAATAAATTATTATTACATAGTTTTTAAAAATTTTCACATTTTTACGATTTCAGTTTTTTTTTTTATTTTTCGATTTTCCAATTTTCGTTTTTTTCCAGTTTTTGGATTAATTATTTTTTTCGATTTTTAAGTTTCTCCATTTTTAGTTTTCCAATGTTTCAATTTTTCGTTTCTTCAGTTCTTCGAGGTACAATTTTTAGATTTTCCACTTTTTCGATTTTCTAATTTTTCGATTTTTAAACTTTTCGCATAAAATAAATGGAAAAAAATGCAAAATTGTAAAACAGAAAAATCTAAAATAAAAAAGAAATTTGAAAACTCTAAAAATTGGAAATCAAGAACGTGAAAAATTGAAGAAACGAAAAATTCAAAAATCGTAAGAAGAAAAGTCCAAAACTGAAAAAAAAATGTATTGTAAAAGTGAAATATTGGAAATTAAAGAAGTCGGAAAATTGGAAACTCGAACAACTGAAAAATAAAGGAAATAAAAAAATGAAA